AAAAAAAAAAAAAAAAAAAAAAATGGATAACAAAAGCAATATTTAGATAATTGGAATTCATTTATATGCAAAAGGTAGGAGATATTTGGTAGAGCACTGAAATGTTGGGAAAATGAAACATACTTCAAGATTCAAGTAAGTCAACAAAGATTGTTCATTATTAGCATATGAGTTTATACTTTATACGTTATAGTAAAGCGAACATGACTAAGAACTAGCTATCAGGTGGTTCATGTTCTTCAGCTCAGCGACAAAACCATATGTACTACCCATATCCTTCAAGGTTCTCTTTTATTTTAATAACCAATCACGACTTCCATAGTTGTCAACACCTCTCAACTAAAGAAAAGTTTTCAAATAAAATTACCTAAAAACTGACAACAATTCATAGTTTGCCATCCTGCTCAGTCAATCCAGTATTTTACGTAAATTCAACTAATAAATTTATCTACAAAACACACGTTCATTTGCACAATGAAACCAAAGCTTATCCAACCTCAAAAGTTGGCTCAGCCGTCGGGCTGCAATCTACATATATAGAAACCTTCCCCTTATCAGGATGAGATGCACTTGGCTTTCCAAGCTCAGCCTGCAAGGGAAATACATAAAATGTTGGTCCAAGTTCCGAAAAATCTAAAGAATGTTATGTGACAAAAAGAAACTGTTCCCAAATTACCAAGAAAAACAAATGCAACCCAACCAATCTAAAGCGAGATGCACATTTATTATTTGACGGAGAAAGGCAATACCTTCACACTTGCTATAACGTCCGTTGCCCCGAGCTTCACTCTTGCTGAGCCACTTGCCTTTTCGGATTCATCACAATAGTAGATTAATAAGCATAAAATCTACCAGATGGGAAGTAAGTGAGCCGTTTATTATACCTGAGGAATGACACCAGTTTCCACAGAGATGGGTCGGTAAGTTAATCGCTTACGACCATCAGTACGCAAATCCTGCGCAATTCCACCCTTTATAAAATTTTGCTCTCCAAGAGAAAGACCCACCATAACTACAAGCACATGTAAGAACATACGTCAAGACCAAAACTTTTACACAGTTTCTGGCTCAAAATGACGAAAAAGAGCAAGAACATACACCCTAAATTATTGCTTCGATGTAAACTAAGTGTTGTGAAAAAGAAAAAAATTTCCGACGGTTCACAGCGTTTACTTTAGCAAAAACGACAGAAAAAAAAAACAAACAAACAAACACAGTACAGTTCTGGTTCAATCAAAGTCGATCAAAGTTTGCAGCATTCGTCGGGTCCAAAAAAAAAGAAGGCCTAATTTCAAACTACAGAGTTGATTTCAATGCTAGACCATGGAGCTTAAACCCCAATCGTAGCATACGTTAGAAATAAAACCATAGCAATGCATAAAATCAACAGAGGAGTTTGTCTTGTTACCTGATTTATGCAGTTTAAGCAGAAGAATTGCAGAGGATGAAAATTTAATCGGAGGAATTTTCTGGAAGTGTGAAAAGTACAAAGAAAGAGGAAGACATTTTCCTGCAATACATTACACAATTCAGGAGAAGAATATAAATTAGATGGGCTCCTCGTGAGCCCACATGAAACGGGAAATTGGCCCAATAAGATATATACCTTTGATGGGCTAAAAGATCATGTATATATACATGTAAAAGACAAACCGATGTTTGAACCCGGCACCGGTTAATGACCCTGGTAGGCCTCCAGAGACCGACTCAACCATCGGGTCATAAGGTCAATTTTTTAATCTGACAATTAATTTAATTTAAAAATTTCAAAAGTATATATAATTTATTAGTTTATAATATATTTAAAGAAAAAAATTATCGAATCAAACTCGACAGAATCAATGCTCTGGTCGAGTCACCCCAGGTTTTGCTAGATTGCGTGCTGTTGACTTGGAGTTGGGTCCGTTTTGGGTCAAAAGACACTGGTAAAAATCACATAAGTATTTTCAGTTTTGATTCAATAAAATATAAAATGAGTTTGATAATGAACTTTCATACATGTCGACACTAATTGAATGAGATGAACATGTCTCGTATTGTTCATCATCTATCATTATTCTTTTACTATAAAAACCCTCTCTCAGAAAAGGAAAAAAGACACAACTTTAGTAGTCATTGGGCACAATCTGATAGTTCCTCTGTTTTCACACATAAAACTTGTGAAAGGCAATTGATGCAAGGCCCATTTTCTTGAAGTTGAACAATATAGACAATTGAAACTAAAATAAAATAAAAATCTCCAACACAGCAATACAACAAATACTCAGTCAACATTTGCTCTAGCCAACAAAGGAAGAACTGCAATGGTACACATTATTATTAAACATAAACAGATTCAAAAGGTTATCATCAACAATACAGCAAAAAAGACAGACTGAAAAAGTCATTCAAGGGGAAAAAATATTCCTGATGAGGCGAATTTCCATCTTAAACCGTTTTACATAAACCAGTCAAACTATAAAACATATCGGAAGTAGAATCTTAGTTCATCCACATGCCAGCGTCAAAAGCTGAACTTGCAGCAGAGAAAATGGATCCGAAATGTGTGTCCACTTTATTCAAAGGAATCTAACAGTGTATACAGCTCCCTACAAAACGAGAGGTGTCAAAATATAATTAGCAAGACGTACAATTATAAGGCTAACAGAAAATTTGTCAGCTTGATAACTTCGCACAACTCGTGAAATACAACAACAACAACATAGCCTTTTAGTCCCAAGCTGACATAATTGAAAAAAAATAAAATCATACAAAACATGCTCAACGGATGTTGTTTTCTATTAATAATGATACCCCTGATTGCCAAAATACTCTAGTCAGCAAAGCACATGAGACTGTCCAGATATAACACCAGCTTAATTAGGTTTAACAATCTGGGCCTAAAAAATGCATCAAACAAGAATCTCATGGAGATGATCCTTGAATTCAAAGCAAATTTAAGTCCCTGATAAAAAGTAGAGCAATAAATACAAAAACTACTATGTCAATAGCCCTACTAATTTATTTGTTATTTTAGAATAATCTATTTGATTCTCTTTCAAATCACAGACACCTTTTCTAAATGGAGGATCGCGTTGACCTAGGAGATATTCAAGGAATATTTTTCCCTTACAAAATAACTGGATATCTTAAGCATAACAATATACACTGTCTTAGCAATATCTGTGATCTATCGTCCTACTGAAATTGAAAATAATGTTACTGCACGAGTCTGAGCAATAGTTTTTCTCAATTTCGCTAGAACCGACTGAATCAATAATAGATAGTAAAAACTGGATTCATTTCGTGATTAAAACTAAACCTTAAGGGCAGAGTTCATACCTGGAAAAAAAACAAGAAAATAAAAGTAAATCCAACGTACAAGAACACTTTGCTACTCTACCGTCCAAACCTTTTTCATTTCAGACGAATCAAGCAGCGGCCACCTGCTGCAGCTCCCTATCTGCCCGCTCTCTGATCCTCCTCTCGAGCTCTGGCCTGAAATGCCTAATAAGCCCCTGCACCGGCCAGGCAGCTGCATCCCCAAGCGCACAAATCGTGTGCCCCTCTATCTGCTTCGTCACCTCATGCAGCATATCAATCTCCTCCAATTTTGCATTCCCAACCTTCATCCTCTCCATAATCATCCACAGCCATCCTGTACCTTCCCTGCATGGCGTGCACTGCCCACAGCTCTCGTGCTTGTAGAAATACGACAGCCGAGCAATTGCATCCACAACATCAGTCGATTTGTCCATCACAATCACAGCCGCAGTCCCCAAACCCGACTGCACGGCCTTGAGCGCATCGAAATCCATCAACACATCCTCACACACATGTTTCGGGAGCAAAGGGACAGACGAGCCTCCCGGTATAACCGCCAGCAGATTATCCCAACCCCCGCGGACCCCACCGCAGTGCCTCTCGAGAAGCTCCTTCAACGGAATACTCATCTCTTCTTCAACCGTGCACGGCTTGTTCACGTGCCCCGAGATGCAGAACAGCTTAGTCCCAGAATTGTTTTTCCTCCCGAAGCTGGAAAACCACTCAGGCCCGCGCCTCAGGATCGTAGGCGAGACTGCGACCGTCTCGACATTCGTGACAGTTGTCGGGCAGCCGTAGAGGCCCGCGTTCGCCGGGAAAGGAGGCTTAAGCCTCGGTTTTCCCTGTTTGCCCTCGAGGCTCTCGAGGAGAGCAGTCTCCTCGCCGCATATGTAAGCCCCGGCACCGAAATGAATGTGCACATCAAAATCGTAACCCGAGCCGCAAGCGTTTTTTCCGAGAAGTCCGGCTTCATACGCTTCCTGGCGAGCCCTCACGAGGTTAATCCTCTCGTTCACGTACTCGCCGCGTATGTAGATGTAAGCTGCACGAGCACGCATTCCCATGCCAGCTATCAAGCAGCCTTCTAACAGCTTGTGTGGATCGTGTCGCATGATTTCACGATCCTTGCAAGTCCCGGGCTCGCTCTCGTCGGCGTTCACGACGAGGTATGACGGACGGCCGTCGGAAGTTTTGGGCATGAAGGACCATTTGAGCCCGGATGGAAATCCGGCGCCACCACGGCCTCGGAGGCCGGATTTCTTCATCTCGTTGACTATCCAGTCGGTGCCTTTGAGGACAAGGTCTTTGGTCCGGTGCCAGTCGCCTCTTTTCATGGCGCCCTTGAGAAAAGGGTCGTGAAGGCCGTAGAGGTTTGTGAAGATTCGGTCTTCGTCTTTGAGGCCGCCAAAGTGGGTTTTCTCGGGAGGTGGGGGTGGAGGAGGGGCTTGTGGGGTGGGAGGAGTGGTTGATGCTTGTGTGCTGAGCAGTCTTGTTGCTAGAGGATGGTTCTTCGCAGGGAAAGAATGCTCTTCGCAGGGAAAGAATGCTCTTTATGGGTGCCTGTGTGGACAATAAGATGAAATGGGGTTATAAAAAGTGTAACTTTGGGTCCTGGAGATATAGTATAAGGAAGTTTATTTTGTTTCTTCTCAAATGGATACAGAAATTAGCAGCAAATAGTGATAGAAGAAACTGAGACCCCAAGATCAGGTTAGTAAGCTGTAAATTACATAAGAAAACAGTAGGAAAATGAAGATGAGGGCTGCCATCTATACAAACTATGGGTATACAAACATAATTCAAATTAGAGAAAAAAACTAGTAATCTGAACACCTTAAGACATAACATGTTGGCAAAACTACATATTGCATGCGAATCACTCGGTCCATTTCTCAATCTCGGCCAAAGGAATCCTCGAAATTTTCCACCCTTGCATTGAAGTCATTATTCACATTTTACAATTAAACTAAACCCTGTACAACAGAAACTAACTCCACAAGATTTTCTTTCTTGTGCCAGAAAATTACAGCCTTCACAACTAAGCTCACACTAGCCCATACAGATCCAGACTGCTGATCTCCACGAAACGTCAACAAAATGATAATCACTCAAACACCAGACTAGCAACTTAGCTCAATGAAAACAATCAAATAAATAAACGCACAAACAATCAGATCAGGGACCAACACCCTTTGCCCAAATTTCAGATTTCACCCACGACAAAAAACTGAAAACCCCAGAAAACCACCACTCATCTACAATAGAAAAAAGAAAAAAGGGATTCGAATTCACCGATCCAGGTCACAAACAAACCGATCAAGAATCCAGAAGATTTCAAATTTTCAACTAATTCCATAAACTAATACAACGGAGAAAAAATCCATACATAGAAGAAGGAAAAATCAAATTCAAACAAAGCGTACCATGATGGCATATAATGTTGAACAAGCCAAGGTGCTGTGATTAGCCGGCGACGCAGCTGGTAACTATCGAGAACCAGAAATGAGAGAAATTGGAAAGTGCAGACTACAAACGGAGGAGAAAGTAGAAAGCGAGCTGATTTATTGCTTGATACGGGCGAGCACACGGTAAATGAATGTGATCTGGAAAATTGAACGGTCACGATCCGGTCCCTTTTTATATGTTTTGACTGTTGTATAGATCGCACGGCGAATAATACAATTATACAAGGGCATAAATTGTGATGATCAAAGTGGTCGCGTGGAGATATTGTGCAACATACATCAAGATTTTCAGAGGGCTGGCCAAGTCATAACTATTGGGCTGAACGCTGGTTTCTTCTGGATATGGGCTGTGTAAAATAAATTGGCTAAAGTACACGAATCTGCCTCCATTAAGTATCAATTCCACAAAAACGAGATCGAAAAACTTGTCACACATTTGTGAAAACAAACTTTATGAATTCCTTGAATACGTTTCTTTTAATAAAATAGGAAGTAAATCTGTAGCGCAATAACTCTTTAATCCCCTAACCCAATTCATACCACAACTCTGTCTAATCAAGGAAAGGTGCAGAAAAAAAAAAGACGGTTGCAAGAACTTAGTTATCAAAAGTTGAGTTTATTTTAAGTTTATAATTAGTTAAATAACAATCATAACATTTTTTATACCAAACTATTTACATAATATAAATAGACATAAACATGTAACATACCAAACTTGTTAAATAATACAGAGAAGAGAAAAAAAGAAAAATTATATATAGTTTATTTTTCAGTTTATTATAATAAATTAGTTAAACTAGTTTATTTTAAATTTATTATATAAGAAAAAATCAGTTTATTATACAAGAAAAATTTTCAGTTTATATATGGTTTATTTTCAGTTTATTATAGTTATAAGTTTATTTTCTACCATAAGTTTATATCTAATTTATATTTAGTTTATTATAAATTTATCTTGGGTATATAATTACTATAAATTTATATCTAATTTATTTTTAGTTTATTATAAGTTTATCGTAGGTATATAAACAAGATTTTCTACTATAAATTTATATCTAATTTATTTTTAGTTTATTATAGATTTATAAACCATAACAAGAATACAAGTAAATTTGAATTTATATATAGTTTTTTTTTCAGTTCATTATACAAGAAAAATTTATATATAGTATAATTTTAGTTTATTATAGTTATAAAATTAATACTTTATATACACAAAAACGAATCATTCACTCACAAAAGTAATGAACAACTAAAATATAAAATACAACATAGCTACAAATAAAATGAAACAAAAACCATCAATAAAAATAACCATAAGAAATATTCAAAACAAAATCTACATGAATTAACCAACCAAAAAACAACTGCTCTTTTGTCCAGTTGTAACATCAATTAAACACATAATTCTTCCACAAAATAATTATATCAAACATTTGAAAAATATTTTCTCCATAAGGCTGATTCTACACAAACCATCTGTAAATAAAAACTACAATAAACCGAAAAAAAAAAGGTCAAGTCCGAAGTCGGAATCGATTTTCTTTCCAATCAGTCTCGAAATCAATAGGCCTATCCCAATGTTTCAATGCGTCTATGCAGAAGCTGTCAATCTTCAAGTAGAAATCCTCAACGCCTTAACCAAAAACGCAAATTCACAAATAAGCAGAACATAAAATGTATAAAACTAGCAATTTCCATTACTTTTAAATGCCTAAGGAGAAAAACAAAGGACAAACCCAAGGATTATTGCAAAATTAAAAGAGCACTTCACAGTTAACTTCTCATTTCAATTGCATCATTTCTAAACTAATCACAAATGTAGCTGATGAATTTTACACAAAGGTACCAATTGTCCCCAACCAATCCTAGGAACTCGAGTGATTGTGCTATATAACAATTAACAATTACCAAACTCCATATTTGACAGTTTTTATCAGTTGCAACCAAATAATAACTCACAACACATTAGAACCAAGATCACAAGAATTAACATTTCAAATATGCCAATTTCACACGGATTTAAGAAACTACATCAACACTCAAAAGGAGGTTTCAGAAATTACGCTTCCATAACCCAGAACACTAAGATGCCTGAAACGAAAGAAAATATTAACACATTCATAAAAATCTTCTAAACAAACAAGCATTGAGAACACCACATACAACCAGCTAAAGATAAATCAAACCATAAGCACCAGTTCTTCACAAGTCCCTCAAACAATAACAAATCAAACAGTGAAATAAAAAAAAAATATATATATATAATAACCATACAATCAAAAGAGAATTTCATTCGATAAACCTGTATGGGATGATGGATCAAATGCCACAAGGGTAATCAAACAGAATTGTGAAAATATAAATTAAATTAATCATCAAAGAATTTATCATGGATCATACTGTAATAGAACCACACGGACATATTATTCATTTCATATTTCACACAACTCTGTTGAGTTTTTTTTTATTAAGCTAAAGCTGCACGAAAATCATATAATTAAACCTACCAAAATCGCAGAATCAGCAACAATGCCAGTCCGAGAGCCATGTACCACCGGCCTTGCCGCTCAACCTCTCGTCAAAACCCTCGGCTCGATGCCCCTCTAAGGAGAACCCATCGATGCCCTTTCAGCCCTACTCGTAATCCAACTGTCGAACCCTTGTTCAGCCACCCATGGGCCATCGAATCAATTCGCCGCCGTCGATTGAGGGAAGGGGTAATTGCGTCGTCTTATTCCAATTGAAGTAGAAAGAAATAGGAAAGCAGAAAGAGACAAATTATGGAGAAAGAAAAAGAAAAGGGGGAACAGGAGTGAGGCGGCGGATGAAATCAGGATGATATAATTTCGTAATTGTGAACCCGTTAATATTGAAGTGGAATGAAGTTTTTATTCTCGTCATTTGGGAAATAAAAAGGAACGGAATGGTGTACAGGGTCATTCTTTCAAATAAATTTGGTGGGTTGTATTTCCTTATATTGATCCTTAAATACTTTAGAATAATTGACACCCCTTATCCATTATTAAAAACTGTTTACATTAATCTAACTGTTTACTTTAAGATGAGCCCAATATGATTTTAGTAGTTTATGTGATTTTAAGAGTGCAAAAAAATAGATCGGCTGTTTACTTTAAGATGAGCCCAATATGATTTTAGTAGTTTATGTGATTTTAAGAGTGCAAAAAAATAGATCGGTATTTAAACAAGTATGAGTGCTCGCGAACAAACTTCTTTTGGTAGGCTCGTGGATGGGATTGGTGAATAGAGTTTTTTGTGTATTTTTTTTTTTATTAACTTTTCATAGGTTGATCAATTATTGATTCAAGCAAAAATAGAATTGGTACTACATTACATTAGATGATCTCAAACGACTAGTAGTCTTGTTATCTCAACGAGCTCTTGTCTGACCTCACCAAAGTTTGTCAAGTTCAAGTGTTTGACCGTACATACAAGATGAATCAAAGCTTGTTAAATTCCATACTTTTAAAACTTTGCGGTCAACTCAAGCTCATTAATTATTCAATTGAGTTGGGTTTCACCATAACTTACTTAGGTATACATAAAATTGTTGTTGGTTTAGGTACCTGGCATGAAGTCCTTTCATATATTAGAAACGAACAAATGTTAGGTACTTTCGTGTATTAAGACTTGCCATCGACCCACAAATTTTCCAAATTTATTTATCGTCCAAGGTTCATCTTGAATACTATAAGTATATATTTTATAAATTCCTAGTCAACGCACGCTTTCAAATTTTTAAACACACCAAGAAAGGAAAAAAAAAATAAAAACATTATATTACATTACAGCAAGGTACCACTTATCTCCAAATAATCTCCAAATAGCAGTACAACGTTCATGTAAATTTTAATAATAGAAGTTTTATTCAACCACATAACATTACACTATGGATGTAGAATACTAGAGGTGTGGCAAATTTGATCGATTCTGGTCACAGCTCGTAAACTGTAAAGTAACTCAGCCACGTTTGTTAGAAAGTATCATCATCAAACCACAAAAAAGGCATGAGTTCCAAGAAAATAGGCGAAGGATAATAGTACCCACACTTACCAAATGACTGGCTATCTTTTGTATCCTTTACACTCCAATTCGTCCGAGACAATTCATCAATTTTGAACCGAATTCCACCACAGGCTAATGACCTGACACTTCCAAACAATCATTGGCCACTCGGGCAACAATTATTTGTGTTGGATAAGAAAGAGCCAGAATAATCAGCACGGAAAAAACTTTGATCATGAAGGTGAATGCTTGTAAGAGAGCAAAGGCACAACATATTCATCTCCAGAACAGTTGGGAAAGTTTCCAGGAATAGTTTTCATATGCCGAGTTAAATTTTCACTTACGAAAAAAAAAGAAGAAAAAACATATTAACTAATTGGGAAGTTGTGAAAAACATAATATATGCATTTCCATTGATATGCTACACTGCAAGCCTTGGACAGGAAAAAAAATAAAATAAAAAGACAACCAAAAATTAAACAGAGACCATAAGAAGTACAGAAAGAAGAATTTAGAATGAACAAGTTCAGGAGACAAATAATAAGGCATGCTATGTACCTTTCTTGAACTTCAGAGCACAAATATGAAAATTTGTCAATGGAAAAGTGATTTTGAGTTTCTAACATTGCCAGGTCATAGCCCTCAACCTGCTTGCTTGAATACTGCAGTGACATTTCAGATGAATGTCATGAAGCTTCAAACCCAGAAAACGTATTGAAATGGTAAGAAACAACAAGATTCTGCACTCTAAGCTGGGGGCACATGTATAGGTAAAGCAAGGTACTGGTTTATCACAAAGAGAAATGCGTAAGAAGCAAAAGTAAGTTGGCATGTGAGCTACAGGAAAAGAAGTCGTCGGGTGATTGGTCAATGATAAGCAAATGTAACACGAGAAAATAAACCAAACTATGTTATTCTTCATTCCGACAGAAATTGGATAATGGAATCTTTGTAACACAGGACAGAAAGACCAGATAAAAACTATCACACAGGACAGAATTCCTATAGCATGTCGGTCATCATATTAAGTAGCAACAAATCAAAACAGAACGCCTAAAAGAGAAAAGAAGAAGAAGAAAAAGAAAAAGTACAACTGCTATATATTTGTAATGCGGCAGGTTGCTACGGTTCGCTTAAAATATAAATTAGCATTCGTACTTATGAATCAGTTCAATTACCAAAATGATTAATACGCCATTCTATGCATGATTTACGAAAGAAAAATAGAGGGAATTGCAGAAGGAAACCTTTCCTTGTAAACAATGACATTGATATCTGTTAAAGAACACCCATGTTGCATATGGAACTCAGAGAATCATTTTACAGGGATCTGAAAGCTAATGTTATATGACCCACGGTATATACCAAATTAGTACTCATTCCACATTTAGCAGAAAACGGCAAGTCATTAATCCTTGGTTTACACACCTGGAATTCATATTTAATATTTACCTCCTGATGCTACATTTTGTCACATTCTTCGACTATGAGAAGCCAAGAATCTCCTCACCGCTTTACACACCACCTCTTGCAAAGAGAACATTAGGATTATGATATTTCAAAAATCAATTGAAAAGGCGTTTACAGCAGACAGTTTAAAATAGTTACATACACAAGATCAATCAAAAAAAAAAATTCTTGAAATGTCTTATGCCACACCTTCCAGGCAAGTTACGTCAAAGACAGGTTATTAACATCACTGAAGTCCAACTAGAAATTTCAACACGCACGATGTCTGATTCATGAATAGAGCAAGGAAATGTTTGCACCTAGTTCAGCAAAAATGCCTGCTAAAAACAGCATAATTTGAGACTTTCTCACAAACAATTTGTGTCTTTCTGTCCATAGCTCTCACCTCTCCCGTGCGAATTCGATACTGCAGAATCAAGAAGCCAATTCATATCTTATTGACCGAAAAAACACCAGTGCCATATCCTTCTTGCTGAAGCTTCTGTAGTTCTTCTAACGGGTCAGGACTCTTCATTACCCTTCTCATACGCCTTAAATTACATTTGGAAAAATGATCATTCAACATGCGAAATGTGATAATTCAGCTCATAAAACATCAGATCAAGACGGGAATATACCTATCTCGTGCATGATGTGCAGGAAAAGTAGGCATGAACTCCTTTGATTTCGGAAGTGGAACTTCACTGAACCATTCATGGTTGAGAGCGTCTTTAGCTGATATCCGCTGCATGGTTACCATATCCATTATTTGAGACTCGAAAAGGTTAATCAATTAACAAAAAAAAAAAGATAATGAAACAAACTTAATTAATACCTTTTCAGGGTCATAAGTTAGAAGCTTGTTCATGAGGTCAAATCCAGCATCAGAAAGCACGGGTGACCCAGTAAAAGAAGTTGGTGGAAACTTCCTACGTAATAGGTTGTACCTGATAAAAATGTAAGCTAGTTAGAAGCTATGGGTTATGAAAACAGTGGCCAACAGAAGATAACATTAATTTGGTATCAAATTGAAAAAGGGTTGAATATAAAAGATGGGGATACTCACTGATGCTTGACGAAGTTCGCCTTGACACCAGGGAGCTTAGAATACCCCGGCCAAATGGTCTCATTAGGGGTTCCCAGGATCTTGAAAATCTGTGATTTCATCCCAACATGAAGTAACAAGAGTGACTACTCCGTACAAATTATATTCACAGAATAAACAAGCTACACGAGTGAAAGCTTAATGTACCTTGCCTAGCTGTTCAAACTCTGTCTTCCCATTGAAAAGAGGCTCTTTTGATAACAGCTCAGCCATAATGCACCCCAAGGACCACATGTCAATTGCGGTAGAATATTGCTTTGTTCCCAGAAGAAGTTCAGGCGCTCTGCAACAAAACTTATGATTAGTTTGCCATAATAAGACTGAAAAATAGGGAACTAAAAACACAACAAAGTGCTTGACTATGGAAGTCCATTTGTACCCAAAACAAATTGAACTGCTAATCAGACATGGAAGTCCATTTGCACTATGTAACGGATACATACAGAGTATAAAATGCATACAGATGATCCTCACCTGTACCAAAGAGTAACCACCAGCTGCGTATATGGTTTTAGTGGGCTCCCATATTGACGAGCAAGACCAAAGTCACAAATCTTCAACTCACCGCAGTTATTCAAAAGCAAATTTGATGTTTTCAAATCTCTGTGAAGCACCCAATTGTCATGGAGGTAGTTGACACCGCTCAAAAGTTGGAGCATGAGGCATTTAACTTCACTTTGACTAAATGGCTGCTTCATGGTCTCCATCAATGCCTTAAGATCGTGTTCCATGTACTCCATAACCATATAGATGTGGTCTTGATTGCTCCCCACCACTACTTCTTTGACATCCACAATGGAGGGATGATCAAAAGATAAAAGGATGTTTATCTCCCTCAGTGAAGTCAAAGGAAACCCTTCTCTCTCCTTATCCATCTTAACCTGCTTCAGAGCAACAATTTCTCCAGTCTTCCTATCCCTGGCCCTAAATACAACCCCATATGTCCCTTCATCTATCTTGTTGAGTCTCTCAAACTCATCGACTCTTCTGCAACCTTGAAGCATATTAACACTTCTTCGTGGAAGTTGCAGGGGCTCCGAGGTACCATGAGAACCACAATCATCCTCAGAATCTGTATCAGAATGGCTAGCTCTAGCACCATCAAAATTACGATCCTCGTCTATCGCCATATATTCGTTATTGTCATCTTCTTCATGATACCTATCTCTACTGGAGGACCTAAGAAGTCCATCAGACCTAGAAGACCTCCCACCAGACCCTTCGGAGCCTTCTCTTTTGACCTCCCCAACTTCAGGACTTATTGATTTACTGAATCTTCTCAGATCAGTTGATTCTGCACGATAATTCCTGTTTAGTTTAGGCATGTCTTCATAATCCGAAATTTCACCTTCATCGGCAGGGGAGTCGGCATCATTGGCCCACCGGGATGAATTAATGGTTCTTGTGGGAACAGAATCATCACCTTCCAGAGACCCTGTTTCCATCTTTTTGACCCACTGATCTTCGGTTCGCATAGAAGATGTTTCATCTGGGAATTCAGACAAAGATCTCAGCTCAACTTTAGAAAGCGATGCTTCTAAACCAACCTGATTCTCATATGCGGGTGAAGACCGTGCATTCTCAAGCGCACCAGTTTCTGGTTTTAGTGAATGCTGAGATGATTTTACCGAAGCAAGTAATGGATTAGTAGTAACTACAGTGCTGTTACTTTTATCTGTTCTGCTTACCTCCTTATGGTCTCCATCCCAAACAATTGGCGAAAACTTCCTCTTCTTGTTCTGCATTGAAGCAGACTGATCAGCATTATCCACCATTTCTATATCAGGCACTCTATTGGCTTGACTTTCCGAATCAATAGCCACATCAGACCCGTCACTAGAAAGCTCCCCAGGCTCTCGATCCATGGCACTCACTGCAAGCCCATGTCTCCTTGCACCACCACTACCGCTACTTCCAGAATCACTTCGGCTAGATATGGAGTGATAGCTACCATTCATCACCTCCCTTTCCTTGACTCTAACCTCCCGACTATCTCGATCCCGGCCCCGACCATAGCCCCTCTCATAATCCCAATCCCCATTCCGAACGCGATCATATTCCACTTTCGTATACCCATTGCCTCTCCTCGGCATCCCAAAATCACCCTCACGGCCCCTAAATTCGTTGCCTCTGTATGGCCCAGGTTTTCCAACAGCCATAATCAACAATTGTTAAACAGAATCTACAGGTTTTCCAACAACCAAACCCACAAGCCTATTTAATACAGAGAAGAAAAAAAAAAGAATTGATATTTTGAATTTGGGATTCGAATCGGATCTGGAACAGCACATAATCCGAAAAGAAAAGGCCTCCCACCAATCAATAAACCCTATTTGCTTCAAAATAAGAAAAATAGAGAAAACCCCCCAAAATCAACACGATCTCCAAACGAAACGTGAAACCCTAGAAAAGAGAAGAAAAGGAAATTGAAATCGTATATCTCCTTCAATTCACCCACCCTCCGCGCGCAAAGAATTCAAAAATCGAGAGGCTTACTATCAAAATCGTCGGACGAGCTATGAATAGATAAATAGCGAAGCGGCGCAGGTGATTTTCCCCCCTAATCTCGCTCCGTTCATCGCCGTCTCTGTTTTCTCTCTCCAAAAAGATCAACCAGCCGACGCTATGTTGAAAGAGAGTCTAATAATTAGCTTATTTTTTGGTGTTTTCGTTACTAAATAAATATATACTAGTTTTTGTCCCGTGCATTTGCACGGAAAATTATATAATACATGAAAAAATAATAAAAATTATAAACAATAGTAAAAAATCATAACAAAATCATTGAAAAAAATTAAGAAAAAAATATAAATATTCTTAAACACTTCTTTATAAAACAACGTCGTGGTTTTTCTATCGTCAAAATCTCTCTCAGCTCAAATCAAAATCTTCAAATCCCACTGACTCGTAACTCTAAAAAGCGTCACGTATAATTGCTCATGACTAAATGCTGAGCTCTTCAGTAGTGAGTCGATGTGCGACAGAGACTATCTTTGACTCTTACTGATCATGTCATAGCATAGGAAACACTTCTTTATATTGTTTGTTCTTGACTCTTATTGATTGATAGAGATTGTCCTTGCTTCTTAATAAAAAAATACCATCTAAATATAAATGAGTAAATATAATATTATTTTTTTATATAAACAAAAAATTTAAATATCTGTAATAGATCTGTAAATATATGTATTTTTTTGATTTTTTTTTTAAAAAAAAAAGAAACTCGTATCATGAGCTTTCCATTAGGGTTAGCTTCCAATGGACTGGAACCGTCCGCATTGTGATTTTAAGAGGCCGATTAAGGCCCTTTTGTTATATTTAATCACAGTCAGAATTTTTTTTACGTATGTTTAATTTTTTTTTCGTGGATTCAAGTTATTTCAACAATGTTCTTTTTATATATCTAAGATTTTTTTTCCTGATTTATATGAATATAAGCACATTTAACTAATTTTTATAAAATTTATTGAAAAAAGTTACTATTTTTTTTTTAAACTGATAAGATATTACGATAATACTGTACTTAACATAAATGTGGGATTAATTAAAATAAATTTTTTTAATTTATTCATTAACTAATTAAATTTAACTATAAGAAACTTTCTTAAATGTGAGATTAATGAGTAATTAATTAAAAAAGTGTAACTCCTTTTGGAGGGAAAGTGAAAATATTTTTATTAAATGTTTTATTAAATGCTATTAGCTAGCAATTATATATATATAGATTTGTGGTATGGTGGGTTGGGCCAAAACATGGGCCGGCGCCTGGGCTGATCAACTCGCTGACTGGAGCAACCTTTTGTTGTTTGTCAAAGGTACCAACATCAATACGTCAAAAATTCGAATTTGGTAAAATCTAAATTGAGTTCTATGATTATAATCCGGACTAGTGTTTGAGTCGAGTAGCTCATGTTCGAGCTTATTTTGACTCTTCTAATAAACGAGTCAAAGGATCAGCTCAAGCTCAGTTCACGTAAAGCTCGAAAAAGATCGACTCAACTAATATAATAAATTTAAAATTTTAAACAAATAGTTTGTACACATAAAATATCACTTCTCGAATAAGTTTGTTTGAATTAAAAGAATATTGAGTTCGACTAGCTGCCCAGGCTGAGCTCGAGCTTTCATGAACAAAATGGAATTTTGCTCGTCAATTCCTCGGCTCGTTTGATAAACTAGCTAAGCTTAGCTCGTTTAGTTAACATGCATTAATTTATATTGCTCTTACGAAAATAACAATGATAAAAAAAAAAGTCATATATTTTTTTTTCTAAATGTATAGGAAATTTTACACCAAACAATTTACAAGACATCAAATTCTTGTCTAAGTAATCTGCAAAATGTTCATGGGGCGATTGGATATGAATCCAACCGGTTTTGATTCGATTTGGCATGTTCAAGTGAGTTACATTCAATAAAGTTGATTGAGTGAATAAATAGAGTAGAATCTTAGTTAACAGTTAAATAATATTTAAAATGTAATAGGTAGTGCATTATACTCCTCCTCCAGGAGTTCCCTTCCCAATAATGCTAAGGAGCCAACTTTTGGCTCCGTTATGGAGCCAACAGCTAATAGAACAGCTCCATGTGGAGATGCCCCACATTGGAGTCATGTGGGACAGCTCCTTAGCATTATTGCCCACGAGAAATGCTATGGAGCCAATCACCAATGTTATAGTGTCACGTAGGCCATATGAAAAAATAATTAACTCCACATGGTCTACGTGGCACTATAATATTGGTGGTTGGCTCCATAAAGGAGCCAACCATTGGCTCCATAGCATTTCTCTTTAACCCAATCTACCAGCAGAAAGAAGGCAATAGCTTGGAGGAGAAAAAAGAAGGAGGATAGCCATTTCTTCTTATATAGTCTGCTTTCTCAGAGCTCTTCATAGCCTTTTCTTGAAGTTCAGCCTCTGCATTTGCTCGTTTTCTTCGGCTATCCTCCGACTCGCTGCTAGTTTGCTGTTGTACTTCTCATGCGCTCGAGATTTTAGCTTCTCGGCTTTGACCTACACGCATATATGGAACGCCAATCACGAGTCAAAAAATCACATGTGGATCGAGAAAATTTGACCATACATACATAGGATAAAAACAAGACACATGTTAATTAAAAGGTCATGAAGAAAATCATTTGTTGATACTTAGAAGGGAAAAATCACAGCCATTGCAGATAGCTAAAACCCGAGAAAAAAACCCATAAATCTACAAAGTACCTCGACTTTTCGATTCTCCAACTCGGCTTTCCTTTTCTGATGATTCTCCCAAGCTTGAATCTTCACCTCGTCCCGTTTAAACCTAGACATGCATTGCATACACAAAAACCGATCACACGAGTACATTCTCGAAAACTCTAAGGTTATGTTTGGTATTTTCCTTCCACTTTTTGAATTCAATCTTGTTAGCCAAACTCAGGATAAACAGAGGAGAAAGATTGGGACCTCAAATGCTTGTGGCTAAATTGGCAGAAATTGGAGAGTTTATTTATTTATTTATTTTTATTTGAAGCTTTTGGTAAAATCTCAGGAAGATATCTGCAAATTGAGTTAAAAGCAGAGGTGAAAAGTGCTTAGCCAAGCAAGAAAATTTTAATAACAGCAAAATTGAGACATAAGGACCATAATGACAGGTGTTAGTGGAAGCAAAGTAAAAAGACTAAAAAGTTTTCACAATTCATGAATGTTTGATTCAAACCTTACACAAAACAAAGATTTATGTAGCATTAACAATTAATTCAACTCAAAGTATCTCTTGAGTAAAACAAGTAGAGAGAGAGAGAGAGAGAGAGTTTACATGTTGTGGGGCTTGAACTTTGAGGAGAGCAAAGCAAAAGATGCAGACAATGAGAAAAATGACAGTGAAAGCATGAAACTTTTTTAGAATGTAGAGGAAGTTTATTAAAATACTTCAAATGTGCATAGGAAATAAGCAATAGCAGCATATGGATAGCTTCAGTAAATAACAAATAAATATTAGGTGACAAACAATACTGCCAAGTCAACTTCATTAAATACATAAATAAAAAATACAGCCTTTGTCACAATAAAACAGAAAACTGCTAGCTGTTGGGTGCAAAATTTACCTGAACTTCTCAATTTTTACATTAATCTTTTCTCACCCTTATAGGTATGGTGTGTATTTACTATTTAGCCCACTAAAACAATAACTTTTATGAACTCTCCTTAACTAATGATGTTTTGGTAAGATATATATAGGCTCAACTAGTCAAGTAATAAAAGATTTAATCTTCCCCCATTTTTAGTTAGTCTCTCATTTTCTCCTTATATTGTAGCAATTTGATTCTGTTTTCAACTTAATTTACCTACTGAGTGATGAATTATGTATACTATTTCTGAGGAAACAGTGAATGTCTGGTTTTTGTGGTACAAATTTGGTGAAAATTAATGGTTTTTGAATGACACACTTAATTCAGTGGGGCCCCCCAACTTACACCAACGGTCATTGATCATGAAAATGAGCTATAATCTTATTGGGAATTTTCAAATATATGCAGAAAATTTGTGTTTATGTACTATATATCCATGCATGATCGTAAGTAAGAGAATATATGTGCACAAAATATCCACTGAGTATTATATGATATTTTCGAAAGCCGACGAGACTAGCCTTGGTGCTCACTCGAAATCGCAAATTGTGCTATGAGACAATCTATAAGTTAATTAGACGGGTCAATCAGTCATACTTCAACGATAGGTACTCAATGAATCTTTTTAACTTTAGTTCTTAACTCTTTTCACACTATTGTTAAGAGTATCCAAGAATGTGGAATCAAGCAATCACAAACTAAAGGATTTTACACCTTTTGATACTCATAAAAAGGCTGGAAAAGGCTAACTTCAAGAGAGAACAAAAAAATGAACATATGAATGGGGTGGCATAAAGAAGAAAACTTCCAATACAAATAAATAAAGGAATGAATGAATGAACAGAGTTATAACATTATTTGAGAGAAATATGTGTTATCTTTCAAGATTATATATGGTCTCAACAAATCTAGTAATTTCCAAACTACAACCCCTACTGGGCAAGAACCTCAACATTTAGGGATTGCCCATTATAACCAATTTTGCTATTTACATTTTCATTATAATGAAAATTCAGAGGATGTATGGAATTTTTCTATAGATGTAAAAGAATTCGAATCCGCTAAGCTTGAGAGCCAGAGCCACTGATCAAATGGGCAATTGATGCCGTAAACAGTCCCAATACTGCACCAGCACAGACCTGATCAGAATTTTTGAAGACATACGAAAAATGATTAAGTAATGATCCTTCTTACTCTAAACAGACTTGTATCCAAGGATTTGATTGATTAACTAAAAAGAATAAAACCAAAAAAAAATTACCTCAACCAAACAAATATTTACAGAGAAAAAAAAAAGAATTTTCAAGCACTAGACATAGCTTATTACAATTTTAAGAACTAAAGACTATTGAATTAAGTTCTTCGATTACGAAGGGAGATCCTAAAACTTGATCAGTTATAGCATAAATCGAACCTGAGGAGGGGTGTGACCGAGAAGTTCACGTAGGGGCCTGCTCTCGGCAAGTGGGTGTTCAGCTGGAAGCCCATATACAATTTGATTTAAAACCTGGCATTTCAATTTTGTTATATGATAAACGTTATATTTTGTAGATTCCTAAATTTCTTGAAGTAGTAAGTCATTCGTAATAAGAGTGTAATCTTAAAAAGCAAAAAGGTGCACACCTCTGCTTGACGGCCCGCGTGTAATCTTACACCAGTTGCATCATACATCACCTAGAACAGATTAACAATATACGTTTCATTCTTCTAAAAATAATAATTATGAAAAGCATATTACAATGTAAAGCCAAATGGTTGACATTGGTGACTTATGAATTACTTCGAGATACTTTACTAGAAAGCAACACAATCATACTTTTTTTTCTATGAACAAATGAAACAACCTTTTAGAACGAGGGGTTGGAGTATAATATCATCAACCTTCATAAAATAATTCCACAATATTATAGCCAAAGATGCAATTTAATTAGACACTTGTTAGTAATTGGGATAATGACACTATTTCACAAACATAGTTTATGTTATCAATAATCAACTTCAGTTGGGTGATTTTTACAGTATAGCCATACCCCAGACAACTTTCCATATAAAATAAAGAAAACCATGTGCAAATGAAGAGAGTTTTATTTACTTAAGAAACCCTTCTCTCTGCCCTTTTCATTTGGGAATCAAATCAATAATTGGATTGCAAGTAGTCAATCATATCAATAATAGTAACTTACGAAGCAGAATTTAATGTGTAAACAAACACATTTCTTTTCTTGTTTCACATAACCCAATGCAAGAATCACATGTAAGAAACTTCGTATAGAAATTTTGCGTTGATCGTTAATAATATTGCCATTATACTATTACCGAGAAACTGAGGAAGTGATTTAGAAGATTGTTAATGAAAGCAAGACAGATCATAATACCACAAATGCGAAGATTAGGGCAACCGCAAATAAAGATCCTCCAAAACCCTCTTGCAACCCAATAGCAATAGCAAGAGCAGTTACTGTTGCCGAATGAGATGAGGGCATGCCGCCAGACCCGACGAGTTGTTTGAAATCCCAACGATTTTCTTTATACCTGCAGCACTATTTATGGCCTTTAAGACTTCAAAAACTAACAATTACCAGTCGAATTATATCGATAAAAGACATGATTAGATAGAAGTGCATAAACCCAGCAGTACCTGACATAAATATTGCACATTTCTAACATCAAACCTCCTCAATAGTCGATATTGCACAACACTAAATTCTTTTTTCAGTTTGATAGCAATCACAATTTCGAAATAAAGACTAATAAACAAATATATATATATATATGACCTATTTAATTTTAAATATATTTCAATTTCAGCTGAAACAAATGAAAATCTCATCTTTTAAGCACGAGTTAAGGATATCAACCAGCATTCCACCAGAAAACAACCAGATCACTCACAAATTTGCAGTCGTAATAATAACAAGTTTCCAAGACCATGACCAAATCAAGAAAATGAAACAAAACCAATCAAACAGATAGATAGATACACAAAGAGCACTTAAATGGACGAATGAAAATCATATATACCATGAGCCAATGAATTTAGCTGACTGGGCGATTGCAAAGGCGAGGAAAGCAGAAATCAATGGATAATTAGTGCAAAACGAGGACGACGAGTACGGGGTTGTAGCTCCTGCCGCCGCCGCCGCCGCCGCCGCCGTCGAATTAAGCGAAGAATCTTGCGCCAGCCCCACTGTCGATCTACCTATTCTGTCCATCGCCATAACCTACTGATTCAAATGTTTTTATTTGTTAATTTCTGTTTCTTTTCTCAACCTTTCTCTCTCTGGGCTCCAAGCAGATTTTTTCTTTTGGGTTTTCTCAATCTTCAATCGCGAATCTACCCAAATGGGCCGTTCGAAGATTGGAACTTGGAGGAGGATGAGAAAGGGACTAACAGAGATTGAATCTGAACTAACCTTGGAAGATACTAAAGCGCGTGCCCACAGCCAAAGAACCGGTCAAAATACCAGTCTTTTTATTTATTTTAATTTTAGTTTTTTTTATATATGGCTATTATTATTTGTATATTTTCAAATAAACCCACCATGTCAAAATGATCATAATTAGTTGGTAAAAACAAGTGATCTGGTGATTATACACCTTTATAAACTTATAAATCTACTTTATTACAAGCAGCTGCTAAATCTACTTTATCTTGATTGCTTCAACTTAGCCTCATTGACTTTCGATCTGATGTAAGCATAATTAGTGCTTTTCAAGCGTGATGGATGTTGTCATATTGCTTTCAGTTGATGAACTCAATTAATTACATATGGTGACAACATTCTTGTTCCTACTGTTGTTCCAAGTGTTACCTCTTGATTACTTCAAGTTGGCGTTGTTGATTTTAGCTTCAATGCAAGATGTACTAATACTTTTAAGGCGTGATGGATGCAGACATATTGCTTCAGATTGGTGCACCCATTAATCACACATGGTGGTTCCTACTGTTGTTCCAAGTGTCACCTCTTCTTGATTCCTTCAGGTTGTTGTCATCGACGTTCAACCCAATGCAAGTTAAACTAGTGTTTTTTGGACATGATGAATGTTGGCATACTGCTTCAAGTCTGCGCACCATTTAATTACATATGTTGACAACATTCTTGTTTCTAATGTTGTTCTAAGTGTCACCTCTTAATTTCTCTAGGTTGGCGTTGTTGATTTTCAATCCAATGCAAGCTAAACTAGTACTTTTAACGCGTGGTGAATGTTGACATAGTTTCAGGTCGGTGCGCCCATTAAATATATGTGGTGACAACATTTCGTTTCTTACTGTTGTTCCAAGATGAAACCAAGTGTCATCTCTTGATTGGTTGAGGTTGCGTCGTTGATTTTCAATCCAATGCAAGCTAAACTAGTACTTTTAGGGCGTGATGGACGTTGACATATTGCTTTAGGTCCGTGCACCCATAAATTACATGTAGTTGCAACATTTTGGTTCATTATGTTGTTCCAAGTGTCATCTCTTAATTGGTTGAGGCTACGTCGTTGACTTTGTTCCAATACAAGCCAAACTAGTGCTTTTCACTGTAATAGATTTGACATATTGCTTCAGGTCAGTATCCTTAATTTTCGATTCACTACCTAGTGTTTTTAAGGTGTGTGATTGAAGTTGTTTTGTGGATTTTGTTTCATGTTGGATTACTTTGGCTATTAGATTTGCTCACATGTTATAAATGATTCAAACTTATATGTGTAATATACTATACAAATTGAATTAACTACAGCTATGGTTGGTAAACCTAGCTAACAAGCTAATTTATAACTTGTAAGTGAATTTAGAGTTAATAGCTGATATCTTATAACTTATGACTGAAAAGCTAACTTATATGATTAAAGTATTTAGTAAAATTAAGTGATAAGCTAGCTAAAATAAAATTTTCAATAGATTTATTTGAAAAGTTAGAGTTTATGAGATAAGCTCGGGCTTTTTAAAAAAGTTCATCCTACCAAACCAAACTTATTTGAATACAGAAAGTTTATAAACTAATCAACTAAACAACCAAACTTATTTGAATACAGAAAGTTAATAAACTAATCAAATAAATAATAAGTCTAACTTATATGTTTATCAACACAACCTAAATCAAAATTATATATGTTTGATCTATAAATAGGAACCCAAAGCCCCATTGTAAGGTGCTTTTGAATTCATACACTTCTAAACTACACAAGACTCATTCACGGCATTTAGCCGATCAAAATGCATATCGTTTAGTTTATTCAACCTGGCTTTCAGTTTGAGTGGTGTGATTAATCAAAATTCCATTTTTCAAATTTCTAAACATTCTTATAAACCATATAACAACACTACCTGTCATAAACAAGAATTTACTACCTTTGCCAACTTCCTCATTTCTTGTAATCACTGCAAAATTGCAAGCACACTCACAGTTCTAATTTTCTACACAACCCATTAAAAAAAATTACAGTCCTGTAAGGTATCAACCAAACAATCCAGAACCTGATATATTTCCTCTACCCTCTGATGCTTTCTATCCACTGAACAGAAACTATGAACTCGGCCGTCGACTTCAATCCAGCTACAACCGGCCGCTTTCGACACATTCCCCTCGGCCAGCTTCCTCCTCACCTCACGCGCCTCGTCCCACTTCCCCATTTCCCCATACAAATTCGCCAAAATCGCACCATAACCCCCGTTACTCGGGTCCATCTCGACCAGCTTCTCGACCGCAAGTTCTGCCACGTCAGCACGCCCGTGGATCTTGCACCCGTTTAGCAACGAGCCCCATATGGCCTCGTCCGGTGGGACCCTCGTCGTCATCATCCCCTTCACGACCTCCATAGCCTCCTCAAATCTTCCTGCCCGCCCGAGCAGATCGACCAAGCATCCGTAATGCTCAACAGCTGGCTCGATTTCGTATTTCTCCATCATCGTGTCGAAATACAGACGGCCCTCAGATACCAAACCCGCGTGGACACAAGCGCTCAAGAGCCCGACAAAAGTCACCCCGTCAGGCTTCGCTCCCTTTCCAAATTCGATCATTTCGTTGAAAATCGAAATGGCTTCGTGGGACCCACCATGCAAGGCGTAGCAATTGATCAAACAGTTCCACGATGTGAGGTTCGGTTCGGCTAACCGGTCGAAAATGGTCCTCGATTTATCAAGACTCCCGCACTTTCCGTACATGTCGAGCAGTCCATTGGCGACGAAAATGTCTGAGTCGAGCAGAGCTCGGCAAGCCAGCCCATGAACACACCTCCCGATTTCCAACATTCCCCCGTGACCTAATGCCGAGAGAACGCACACGAACGTGCCCTGGTTAGGGGGGTTTTTGCCACGCGAGCTTTCTTCAAAAATCATCCTTTGGAAGAACTCGAGGGCCTCGGAGAACAGCCCGTTTTGTACGCAACCGGAGATTATACAGTTCCACAATGGGGTGTCTCTGATTATCTCAGGCGTCTCTTCGAAGAGTAAGACAGCGTTCCCGGCCTGGCCTGCTTTTGAGTAACCGGAAATCAGGGCCGTCCAGGAAACCACGTTCTTGTCAGGCATTTCGTCGAACACCTTCCGGGCGGGGTTCATTTGGGCGCCGGATTTAGAGTATGAGATCAGAACCACCGTCTGCACGGCCGTGTGCCCGCCGTAGCCAGACTTGACGACCTGGGCATGGATCAGCTCTACGCCGTGGCTCCTGAGGACTTCCGGCCAGGAGCGGAGGGCGATGGAGAGCAGGAAGTGGTTGGGACCGGGCCCGGGCCCGCGCGCGCGGACCAAGTCGCGGTAGAGGAGCGCGGCGGAGGCGTGGTCGGAGACGTCTGCGTAGGCGGAGATGACGGCGGCGTAGAGGTGGGCGTTGGGGGAGGGGAAGGCGTCGAGCAGGCGGCGGGCGTAGGGGAGGTGGCGGAGGCGGGTGGCGCAGAGGCGGATGAGTTTGAAGGTGTAGAAATGGGTGGCGCCATGGCCGAGCGTGACGAGGCGAGCCTGGAGCTGGTGGAGGTGGCTGAGGTGGCGGCAGCGGTCGACGGCGGCGAGTACTTGCCTGTTGAGGCTAGTCGGGCCGGGAAGCATGTGAGCTTTGATTAACTCGAATTCGTTTTGTTCGTAATTGTTCGACCTCAAAAATTTTAAAAATAAAAATTCTATATTTTTTTATATTTTATACCTCTACACTGAAAATATTATACACATATATATATATAATTATTATTCGCAAATATCTTAAGTCTATTCGTGTTCACTCGATTAACAAACGAGCATAAGTTTTCATTAGAGTTCAACTCGATTAACAAGCAAATGAGCTTTATTCAAACGAGCTTTTGTTTGCTGACATTTAGGATAATTGCAACCTGGGATTTGGTCAGTACATAATTACTGTCAAACATCCTGCAAGCAGATTGACAGATAAGCTTTTACAGCTTGAAACATTTATATAAAAAATTAATAAAAATTGTGACTTTACTAAAGCAGAGTATTATACAAATTACACACACCAAAAACTAGCAAGAATATGGAATATCAAGCTGCCTCCCTATATTATCAGGCTACTATGAAATCAAAACTTTACATTCTCCAAACTGATTTTTTCACAATCTTTTTATTACAAAAATAGATTCACAAAGTCACTCTTTTCCAGCAAATATCCTCGGCTCCACGATTATTTTCACATAATCACGCAATTACACTTGGACTCAAGCTTGGGAGGCTCTATGCTGTCAACATTGTTACGAACTCCAACAATAATTTGGTTCGAGTTATCGTCATTTTCAGCATCGCAACAAAGAGGTTTTGCATCCATTTCAGGCTTCTTTTGTCGGGTTTTCTGGGCTCTCGAGCTACGTTTTCTCACAGTCCTCAAACGCATATTTTCTCTTTTTTTGGAATCGAGCCCACCTGGAAATGCCATTGTTGGTCGAAGGATTTCCATTGGTGGGGTTTCTTTATTTATTGCTATATTTGCGGCTTCGTATGCGAGGTTGTGAACAATGGAGCTGCAGAAAAGGATAGTGTCTGTGGCTTCTTCAAGAGTCACCAGGCTTGTCTGTTTCGTGTCGTCTATGTCTTCTAACAACATCCTCGATTCATCTGTTGGTTTAGAAAGGAAGTTTGAATATGAAATGAGAAATCGGATGAGCATCAAAAGAAGTATTTTTAAAACGATAAAAAAATTGAGGGGATTAGTCACCATTCACGAAACTAATCCTAAATTACAAAGAAAAACAAATCGATAAATGGAAGAATGAGTCGAAATCAACTTTCACGAATTTTTTGTGAGTTAGACTATGTTTGGTAAAACTAGCTGAAAAGCTAGCTTATAGCTTATAAGTGATTTTCGAGCGTATAGCTTATAGTTTATGACTTATAGCTGAAAAGCTACCTTATATGATAAAAGTGTTTAGTAAAATTAGCTGATAAGCTCTTAAAATAAAAATAAAAAAATTCAACAAGCTTATTTGAAAAGCTACTCAAGAGAAGCTCTACCAGATGAAGGTTATTTGAATACAGGAAACTCATAAGCTAAACAAATAAGCTATAAGCTAGCTTATTTGGTTACCAAACATAACACTAGCACCTTTTCTGGGTGTTTTGTAATTATATCCAATAATCTCTCACGAGGTCAAGCAAATAACTTCGGCAAGTTCATCGATTAAGCCTACAAATTATCCATTGCTTGCTTTCCATTCATGAATTTACCTTCTTTGCCAGTGAGGCTAACTTTTAAAGTTCTTCAGGTATCAGCTAAGGGATGATATGCTCGAGCTTAAACAAATGGCCAATTAAAAAATAAAATAAAAAATAGAATCATACAGCATTCAGAATTTGATATGCACATACCACGAACATCATGATGCCCAGATCTCGAGCCGTCAAAACCTTCGATAGATTCTGTAACATCCTCATCATCATCCTGTATTTCATTCATGCAGCTCATTGGATGGGTAGAAGAGTCACCATCAGATACAACATCGACATTCGCACTTACAATTTCAGATACTCCATCAAACGAGCTAAGTGGGCCCACATCTTCCTCATTCACAGAAGCCTGAGATTTTGCAGGCAAAACAGAAGATTCGCTCGTTAAGTTTTCTTTATCCTCTGGCACCACCTCTCGAGTTCTTAAAAAAACATCATCTTTTTCAGTATTATCAGCGCGTGTACTTTCTGTTTCTTGTTCCTGAACAGATGAACATGTTTTTTCCTCGAATTCCTCAAAACCGTCTTCACTCGGGAAATGAGTCAGCATGTGGACCGAAGCACCAGACACGGACGAGTCTGTGCGTATGTGTACAGTATTAGGCATTTCGTATCTATAATTTTCCACATCAGATTTCGTGCCACTCGACTGCCGATAATGCCGGCCCTCAGTTTGCCTGGAAAACCCGCCAAGATCAAAAGAAGACGATAAGGATGCACTAATTGTGCTTTTCTTGCTGTTCGAACTGTCCCTCGCACAAGAAAAATCGTCAAAGCTGGTGGTGTTGCTTGCCGTAAAACTCCTGCTCCGAACAGTAAAAGGATTACCAGCCATTTTTGGAGCATTAGCCTCTGAATTCAGTTCAAACCCGCTGTGTTGCAATTGCTTAATAATCGCTAGTCGTGAGGAAAAAGCATGTTCATTGTCTTCAGCAGGCTGTGTTGAAAGATTTTGGGTTGACTCGATTTTCGGATGTTGACTCTCGCCGGAAACTTTCTCGACGTGACTTTTCACTTCTAACGGGTCCAAAATTTCGACCGGATTTGAATTCACTTCCGAACTTTTGCACTCGTGACAGATTGGTGGGTCCCCCTCCATTATTGTTACTTGAGATGCATTATTAAATATCAGGCCGCATATAGAACATGAAAAATCACTTTTCACATCCATCACTGTAACAGCTGTGTCCACAACAGTAACATCCGAGAAATCACTTTCACCACCATGCCGGCTAACTACTGGGTCCCGCGAGATCTTGTTATCGATCTCGTCATTTAAATCATTAGCCTTATCCATGACGAATATGTCATCGTCAGCATATGAATCGGGATTCTTAAAAGGGGTCATCATATCCTCCCGATTTGGCTCGCTTCTTTTAATGCCGTGGGGTCCACTTGTCAATAGATTGGTATCGGTAATTGAAGAATATTTCGATGCCGGAGAATAATGTGGTGCACTTGCATGTCCTGCATGGAATGTTGAACTAGGGATACTTGAAAGCAGAGGTCTAAACATATTCGGAGGACACTTTCGATCCTGCACATTGAGAGAGAGAGAGAGAGAGGCAAAATCATCAAATATTAGTTGGAACAAAATTGTTTATTTCTTCCAGTAAATACACCTCGTTCGAACAATTACCAATGTATTTCACCAACAACGTCGATATAATTTGGGTAACGAAACAAAAGGCTGAATAAAAAATGTCAAAAAATAAAATTGGATCACATCACAAGCACACAGTGTTATGAAGAGCATAGGTGGAATAAACATCTAACTTGGTGCATACAGTCATGTGACAGATTTATACCTACTTCAAAACCAACAAGAAAGGTGGAAACTTTTAAACAACACAATTGAGAAGGATACCAAATATCGAACGGTAATTCAGCACATTTCACTTCCAACACAAACGTAACACAAAAGAAAAACAAAAAAGGTCCAGTAGATATATTAAATTCAATGGAAAAAAAAGTTTCGATACCATTTGCCGCCCCAAGTCTAACGATCTTTTCGGTGCCGAGCTCGACAAACCCCTCGTCTGCTTCCTAGAAAATCCAACATCCTTGCTGACTGATTGCAGCGAGTCCTGATCATCATCGCCAGAAGATACAACAGAGCCTCTGGACGAACCGATGCTTCTAGAAGCTCCCGGAGACCTCGACTTTCTTCCATTCCCAGAAGCCGGTGATGAACCCCTCACGTACGAGGCTGGCCGATCGGCAAGCGAAGTCCGGAGGTTCGGGGGCACCTCCGAGGAAAATCCCGGAATGCTCGACTGCCATGCTTTTATTTTCGGCGAAGCTGAATTCCCCCGGCTCGACTTAACTGGCGAGGTACCTCTCGCTCTTGATGTGGTGGTGGTGGTTGTACTGGAACTGGATATTATCCTCCGTGGTGTCGGTGTACTGGACCTGGGTGTAGGCGAACGGCCCCTCGAAGGAGAAAAGTGGGCCGTGGCAGAAGGCGGGCTCGAGCGAGTGAGGGATAATGGTTTACTCGGCCTTGGGGATGGACTACGGCGATGTGGGCTTGCACTGGCTCGACTACTCCTTTGACCTCTCTCCATCTGAAGTTTTGAATATCGATTAATTAAGGAAAGATAACAAATTTTTCACATTTCTCAGTTGTAGCTCAGTCTTTAAAAAGTACACCATGTGAGGATTTTGGTCAGGAAAACTAGAAGAGTCATCAGTGACCATATCTGAAACTAAAGTGAGCATCAGGAGTATTAACTATGTACTTGCATAATGTTTAAGCTTGAACAGAATTGTGAGAATGCAAAAAATTTTGTAGATAACAAACCAAATAAATAGATACAATAATTTCTATGCAATTAAGCTGATTGTATCTTTTAATTATTACCGTGGAGGATGGGGAGATTGAAATAGGCTGACTTCTGGGCCTCGCTGTACGTGCAAGATTAACTTGTGGTGACTCGTCATCCAAAGAACGGAAAAGAGGAGTTTCTGGGGGAGTTATCAGCCTAATTGATGGATATAAATCATATATNCACGAATGTACAAGCATGACCTAGTAATCGAACTATGATCAAGTGATAAATGAAGCAGAACACATACTAAATATGCAAACCACATGGCATAATCTTACACATTATATTAGCCATGTTAAAAAATTCAACAATGCAGGATGATTTAACATGCATGGCAAGCCATGAGTAAAATAGACAAACAAAATGTCAAAAACAGTTTATACAAACATTAAAATTTAATGACTATGATCATCAACGTCCTTTTCATTCTTCAATGTAAATATAGGTTGACCTAAAATACATTACGAATAAAATGAAGCAACACACAAATACACACACACACACACACGTATATTAACGAATCTTTCAAACGGAAGAGAAAAAAACCAACCACTCATAGTCATTTTTATCCTTCTCTTCATTGAGCAGGCTACTACTCTCTCCTCGACTAGGAACAGCAATTCCAAGCTTATGATCTGAGAAGTATCTTAATTTTGTCGCTGTCGATAGCATAAATGATGCAAAAAGTAAACTTTTGTCAGTAAGGCAACATATTTAAACCACAACGCACGTGCCACGTGCTCGATTATATTATGAAAAAATCTAACTAGAAAGACAGTACTACGGGATGCGAGAATTTACAGAAGATGTCATCAAAATTGTCGTTTGAATCCAACAAGAAACTTTCTTTCTCTTTGTCCTGAGCCTCATTGAACAGAGCAAGATCATCTTCCTTGTCTTGATGGGAAATACCACTCTCGATACTATGCCGTCTCTTGTGATTCTCGGCCCTAAGATCCCTACGGGGTGAAATTCTTGTTGTAGGTGAAGGGGGCATTTTCTTTACAATGTCTCGATTAAATCCTTACAAAAAGTTTATATCTCAAAACTGATCAACATGAAGAACCATGAATATGGTGCAGTGAACATCCCATGAATTCCACACAATTTTTCTTCCTCTACTAAAAATGGACACACTTGACACTTCACATTTCCATTTCCTAATTTGCACACACACACCATGAACTAAAAGTTACTCAAACTCTCATACCTTATTAAGATTCACTCCAAGATCACCCCTTTAACTACTAAAACTCAACCAAGATTCAAAACCCAGATCAGAAAACGTTTCCCACTTCAAAATATCACCACCAAGGTACCTACAGCTCACTGACAAGAATTAAAAATAACCCAATCAATCAAATCCTGACAAATTTCAGCTGATTCAAACAATAAACAAGCTCAACAAAAGGTACAAAATCTTCAATTCACAATCTACCCATTTGAAAACATAATGCTACACTGCGAAAACCCATGATTATGTCCATGGTGGTTGTGTGTGAACCAAGATATGCCAAACTACAGAAGCCCTAAAACTGAATCTAACGATAACTAAACAGAAGGAAGAAAATGATGAACAAAAGGTGCAATTTTTGACCACGTGCGAGGTGGATTGTGAAGAGAGAAACCGAAATGTGCAGCCTCAGCGCCAGCAAAAGAGGCAAAATGAAGCAGAATACAGTAAGAAAAAGGGAGAAAAAAGAATAAGGGCTCCTTCACTTTTCCCTTGACAATAAATTGGAACAATTAGAGAAATGTGTGAGGATGGTAGAAATTTGGTGTGGTTACGATGTAATTTTTGTTGTATGCTTTTCATTACTCTCGCTGCTTTTTCGTCTCTGCAACTGCTAGCTTGTTCTTTTCTGTGTTTCTCTCTCTTCAACTTTACTCTTTCTTTCTGTTGCGCTGTTTTGTTTTGTTTTTTCTTTTTCTTCTAAAACTATATAATTTATATTTTTTATTATATATTATATTCATTTATTCTTACTAATTATTTTATTTTTCCATGAAGGAATCTTTTAACTGAAATAAAATTAAATTCAACCCAGGAATGAATTTGTTTTGGTCAATATACGAATCAGGTGTGATCGATGTAAGATATTTTTTAAGAAAAAAGAAAAGAGAGATAAAAAAGGTTGGAAAAATACTGTTTTAAAAAATTAACATATAAAAAATTGAGTTTGTGAATACATATGACATAAAAATATAACATTAATTAAAGTATAAAGTTGAGGGCGCATTATATATATAAAAAAAAGCAAAAATCTGTGGAAAAAAACAAAAAAAAAAAAAGTTGTGGAAATGGGTCAAACAGCCGGATTTTCAGAATCCGTTTTTCTAATTAAATTTTTAATTGAAAAACGGATTCTCACAATCCGTTTTTAGTTTTGATTTTTTTTTTTTTTTTT